TCAGGGTGTTTTCAATTGTTTCTTATGCATCTGAAAATTGGACAATGAATAAGAATGACAGGATGAGAATCAACGTATTTGAGCTGTGGTGTTGGAAAGGAGTACTGACTATTCCATGGTCTGCCAAAAAGAAAAAACAGATATGTATCAGAGAAATGTACCATCAGGATCTTCCTTAGAGGTACAGATGACAAAACGTCATCTCACATACTCTGAGCACGTTGTTAGTAGGTTTTAGTTCTTGGAAAAAGACACCATGCTTAGAGAACTTGAGAGTCAGAAAAAGAGATGACTAGCCTCAACAAGATGGATTGACAGAGTGACTGTAGCAATGGGCTACAGCAATGTCAGAGACCACAAGGATGGTACAGAACAGGCAGCGTTCAAATCTGTTTTTCACAAAGTCACCATCAGTCATAGTCAATGGCACTTAACTACAGTTACTACTAACTATCTCAGGGCCCAGGGCTAGCTCATAGATAAGAGTTGTTGTTGTTATGTGCCATCGAGTCGCTTGCGACTCATAGCAACCCTATGTACAACAGCCCTAAACTCTGCTCTGTCCTGTGCCAATCGTACTATCTCTGACACTCCCATCCTGATTATGAAGGGAGGCAAGGAAAAGCTATCATATTAGGAGAGGATGGATGGGGGCTGTTTGCAGTCTATCAGAAATTCAGCTTTCTTGTTGTTGTTGTTATGGACCATCAAGTCACTTGCGACTCATAGCGACCCTATGTACAACAGCCCTAAACTCCGCTCTGTCCTGTGCCAATCGCACTGTCTCTGATACATCCATCCCAATTACCCCAGTCACTGAATCAATCCACCTCATAGGGGGCCTTCCCCTCCTGTACTGTTCCTCCACCCTACCAAGCATGATGTCCCTCTCCAAGACCGGTCCCTCCTTACAACATGTCCAAAGTATGTTAGACAGAGCCTCAGAATCCTTGCCTCTAAGGAGCCGCCCGGTTTAACCCTTTCTAGGATGAATCTGTTTGTTTTCCTAGCAGTCCATGGTATTTTCAATACTCTTCTCCAGCACCACAGCTCAAAGGCATCAATTCTCCTTCTATCCTCCCTAGTCATTGTCCAACTCTCTGATGCATAACAAGTGATAGCAAAGACCACGGCCTGTATCAGACGCCTGGATTCAGCTTTATATAGCAATTTCTGCTCACCCCAGGAGAGGAGATGGAGATAGCAAGCAGGCTTGGGGAAGGGATGGAGCAAGGCTGAGGTGGTAGTAGACAGCAGCGGAAAACAGGTTGAGCCTGAGAACTCAGATAGAAGAGATGGTTGTGACACCATCGGTTCCACTCATCAACTGGAATCTAGGAGAGGGAAGTCAGGAGTCGTCACTTCCTTTCTAGGTCATGACCCTTTTACAACATGTGATGTGCAGATGACACAACCTTGTTTGCTGAAAGGAAACTTGACTTGAAGAACTTGCTGATAAAGATCATACTCCAATCTTTAGTATGGGTTACATCTCAACATAACCACTGTCACTCAGTCAACTCTGGCTTTGAGGGATCCCCCAGCAGGTTTCTGAGGTTGTAAATCTTTGTGGAAGGAGACAACCCATCTTTCTCTCGTGGAGCAGCTGGTAGGTTCCAACCACTGGTTAGCAGCCCAGCACTTAATGCACTGCATGCATCACCAGAGCTCCACCCCCCCAACCTAAAGACAACAAAAATCCTTGCACTTGAGCCAATAAGTAACATCAGGACAAGCAAAGAAAGACTGAAGTTGTCAAGGATTTCAGGTTACTTGGACTAATAAGCAATACCCATGCAAGCAGCAGTCAAGAAATCAAAGAAAGGATTTCATGGGTAAATCTGCTACAAAGAATCTCTTAGCAGTGCTAAAGAGTAAAGATGTCACTCTGAGACCTAAGGTACATCTGATCTAGGTCATCCACGGCATTTTCAAATGTCTCAAATGCATGTCCATGGACTGCCAAAAGAACAAACAAATATGTCTGGGAAAGAATGAAACCAGCATGCTCCTCCAAAGCAAGAATGGTGAAGCTGTGTCTCACATATTTTGGGCATGTGGTTAAGAGGTGCTGGTCCTTGGTAAAAGGACACCGTGCTTGGAAAGGTGGAGCATCAAAAAAAAAAGAGAAGACCCTCAACAAGAGGAATTGACACAGTCACTGTAACAATAGGTCCAAGTATATCAGAGATGATGAAGATAGCAAAAGATAAAGCAAAATTCAGATCCATAGTTCATGGGGTCGCTATAAGTCACAGTCAGTTTCAGGGCACCTAACAACAACATATGCATGTGAAAATTAGATAATGAATGGGAGATTGAAAGAGAATTGATGTCTTTGAATTGTGGTTGCCATTGTCATGGAGTCAATTCCAACTCACGGAAACCCTCCATCAGATTTCTGAAAGAGCTCTGGTAAGGACTTATGCCTCCAACCCAAAGGCACAAGGTTCAAATCCTCCAGCAGCTTTAAGGAAGAAAGATGGACAGTCTTCTCCTATGCAATTTACTGCCTCTTAAAAACCCACTAGCGGGTCAGCTATGAGTCACATCTGACTCGATGATGCATAACAACAACATAACATCAAGTTTCTGAGACTGTAAGTCCTCATGGGAGATGAGTTCCCATCTTTCTCCTACAAAGTAGCTGATGGATTCAGACCACTGACCTTTCTGCCAGCAGTTCAACTTACACAGTACATCACAAGGGCTCCTTCGGAATTGTGGTGCTGGTGTATAATACTAAGTATACTGGGGATTGTAAATTAAAAGAGAGAGAGAGAGAGAGAGATTTGTCTTGGAAGAAATGCCAGAATGTTCCTTAGACGTAAGGATGGCAAGACTCTGTCTCATATACTCTGGGCAGACTGTCAGGAAGGACTAGTCCCTGGAGGAGGAGATCATGCTTGGGAAAGCAGAGGGTCATTAAAAAGAGGAAGACCCTCAACAAGATGGGGCGACACAGTGGCGACACAGTGGGCTCGCGCACAGCAGTGACTGGGAGGGTGGCACAGGTTTGGCCAGGGTTCCATTCAGGTGAACGCAGAGTCACCATGAGTCGACTCATTCAAAGGCACTCATGAAGAACAGCTTCGTTCTTCCCTTCGCCAAGACTCACTCACTCCTTTGGCTCCTTAGGACAGCAATATTGTCATTAAGGGAAAGAAGATCAAGAGAGAAGGGAAAGCATCTTCAAAGCTGAAGACAGAACTAGGGCTGATGCTGAGGTGAGGGTGAGAAACGAGGGTCAAGAGGCCAGTGCCTCCAGCTGTCCCCTCGCCTCTCCTTGAACCTTAGTTCCTCCTTCGCTAAAACTGGAAGTACCCCTTCTGCTCCTCCCTCTGTGATGACACAAGATTGAGAATATACAGGCTTTGAGGAAACACACCTGACCCTCACCCTGCTCCACCAGCTGTGGTCAAGCTTAGTTCTACTCATAGTGACCCTACAAGGACAGAGAACTTCTGGAGGTTTCCGAGGCTGTAAATCTCTGCAGAGAAAAGTTTTAACCACCAAACTTTGCATTAACAGTCCAGTCTAGTGCTTAACTCACAGTACTACCAGGCCCCCTTCTTTCACCAGAATCTAGAAGTTGATGGCGAGATGGTGACATGGGCAGGTAAGGCCACCATATTCCTGCTACATGGTAAGAAGAACCCAGCAAATAGAGGTATTAGTGATGATGACAAAAGAAAGGAAAGACATTCAGGCTCAGTTGTTGAATGGGGCAAGTCTTTCCATCCACTACATGGCCAATGTCCTTAGGGTAGGCAGTCTGCCTGCCCCTTCCATTCACACATGAAATGAGCACAGAGCAGATACTCTACAAGCCCGCAGCGGAAGGGCCCTCCAGAACCAGCAGAACAGCCTGACTCTCCCTAAAGCCCTGAAGATCAGTCACTTCCCTGGTGAAGCCACGGGAAACGCCTAGGAGTACAGGTCCCCAGAGTCATACACCAACCCTCTCCTGTCCCCATATAACTTTCTCATCATTTATTTATGCAGCAAATGTTTATTGACCATCTACCTACTTGGTCCACGCAGGATGCTGGGCTAGCCCTTGAGCACACAGAACTGGATAAGATTCAGTCCCAACCACAGGCAACTCCCTCCCAGTCTGGTATACAAGAAAGTACAGCGAAACACTGGTACTCCAATAGACAGCACAGGGTGCTCTGGGAGCCTAGCGGAGAGGGGGTGATCAATTCTGGGAAAGGCAATATGGAGCAGAAGTCTTCACCGAAGCGCTAGCATCTGAGCAAGTTTCTCAGGGGTGTACAGTTCACCATCAGAAGGTGGAGGAGAGCAAATATGCCGAGGTGTGCAGGTCACAGGCAAGAGGCACCTGGTTGCAGCTCCATGGGGCAAAGGAGATGAGGCTGGACAAGTCATAGAGCTGACTGGCAATGGCCAAGCCATCACTGCCTCGGTCTGCTCCAGCCCCTGCCCTGGGGAATCAGGGAAGGGGAATTGCCCAAGAACAAACAAAGGGGGCTTTCGGGTGGGGTTCCCCACTCAAGTTCAAGAAGAGGAGCAGCCATCTGTGTCACAGGAAAGCAGTGTGGCCGTGCCAACCTGGGACCGGCTTCAGTTGTCTTTGGGTAGGAAGCGAGTGCATGCCTTTGTGAACTCTTGTTTGTGTTTTGTTCTGGTCAGCGGCCGTTGCCTAGGAAAGTTCCTTGTCAAAGGTCCAAGTGTGGGTTTGTTGATCCAAGGGGGAAAGGAGGCTTGTCTGCACTTAGGTAGGGAAATCAAAGTGCTCTAGAGTCAGGGAGAAGAGGGGAGCTGGGGCAATTCGGGGCCACTTCATTCAACCAGCATCAAGCCCTATTCTCTAGGGCAACCTCCTGAGTGCACCTTTCCTAACCTGCTTCCCTCCACACCAAAGGCTGTTGGATAGCTCAGAGAAGAAGCCCCCAAACATTCTTCTTTCTTGCCAATACTGGTCCCTTTCACCAAGGGCAGCACCTGCCTGGGATGGGGGATACTCTGCTGTTCCCTTAGGGCTCCCCAGCATTACAGGCAGAGGAGCGGGGCTCATCTGAGCCTGTTGGAGCTGGGTGTGGGCCTAGGGTGGCATAGGCAGGTGGAGGGGCTGTCAAGGTCAGGGGGGCAGCAGGGCCAGGCTGAGAGGGGGAGGGGGACGTGGGGTGGGGGCGGAAGCTGGAGGGAAGCGAGGAAGCTGGAGTGGATGCCACCTCGTGAGCACCCCTGCTCCCTCGGCCTGGAGACCAGTATCGGCTTCGGAACCTCCGGAGCAGCATGAGGAATGTGATGACCAGGAGATCAAAGATGAGCTCGGCCATCTCCACCACAGACAGCACGGAAGAGCCAAACCACAGGCTCCACTGGCTGCCCAAGTTGGACAGGAGGGTCACCATCTGTGAGGGGGAAGAGGCTCACTGACCACCACAGCAGAAGAGCTGCACTCTAGTCCACAACCCCCAACACCCACCCAAGGCCTCACCCTTTCTACCTGGGACTCTGCCCACTCCACCCAGCCTCTCAGAGAACCCTGGCCCCTTGTGTCTCCGCTTTCTGTTCCTCTCCTTTGGGAGCACACAGCTTCTGGTTGGTACCATCAGGGAAAACTGATAATGTGGCCCCTCTCAGGATGGATGAAACTGAGACAAGTCTCAAGGGCCTTCTTGCCATCATCTGCCATCCCAGTCCCCTCTCACCACCCCAGCCTCTTCCAAGCTGGGAGAGTTCCCCCTTCTTCCAGCCTTTCTAACTTCACTTTATATTCTTTTACTTTTCCCCCGACTCCCCTGTCTTAGAGGCCCAAACCCTTCTGTCCTAAAAGAAGCAGCCCTGAATGCTTTCACAGGCACCCTGCTCACACCCGCAAGAGAATCATGGGCTGAGCAGGCGGGACACACCGTGACAGCTGGAGACTCAGAGTTGGTTTTGTAGTTCAGCTCCCTGAAGAAGATGTTGAGCTTGGCAACTCCATTTCTTTGGAGTCAAGGATGAAGGAGCGGGGAGAGGAAATGACAAAGATTAGCTTCTCAGACCCTAACAAACATCTTCCAATCAAGTGTATTCATTAATACCTCTTCTTTGATTTGTTCCCTCCCACAGGCACTTTCCCAGGGTTAGAACAAGGCTAAGACTGACCTTTTGTTGTTGATGGTGTAATTGTTCTGTCGGGAAAGCATCTCAAAGATCCACTCCTGGAAAAGAATGGGGGTATTAGGGGGTATCACCCTAGACTCTTTAGACTCAGGAGGTGGAGAGTTGGGCCAAACATACCCCATACACACATGTCCAGAGAGGACTAGGGCATTGCACGTGCACACACACACATTCCCACCTCCCTCCTTTTCCTACTTTACCTGGGATGTCACTGAAGGCCATCGTGAGTAACCGGCAGAGAGCTGGTAGCTGGTCACACTGAAGATGGAGAAAGGTGCTCAGTGAGGCAGGATAGGGCTCTCCCATGCACACACATCTCTATATGCCCTGTATTCTACCCAGGCAAGCAGACAGCTATCCAGCCTGTGACCTGCAGAAAGGAACACTCACCTGCATGGCTTCCGGCATTTGGAGAAACAGCCCAGGCTGTCCAAGGAAAAGGCAACCTGGAGCTTATAGTAGCAGTAGCCTGTGGGTGCAGAGAGTTGCCCGTTTCCATAGGGCACCATCACCTTCTCCACTCCACCCCCAAGAGGAGTCCTTCTCTCTTAAAGATCCCTGAGTGTCCACGTCACAGGAGCATCACATAGCACTACAATGTGAACCCCATGAATATGCGGGCAGCATAAAAAACATAAGAAATTAAGATGTAGCTATGGAAAGATGTGTGGAACTTGACCAAAACTTCCAAAGTCAAAAAGAAAAATGGGAATAATTCTTGTATAAGAATAGTTTATAGAATACTCCTGGGCCTCCACAAGAAAAAGACTGATAACCCAATTATAAAATGGACAAAAGACATGGAAAGAATTTTCACAGAGGAAGATATTCGAATGGCAAACAGACACGTGAAGAAATGCTCCAAATCACCAGCAATAAGAGAGATGCAAATCAAAACCACAATGAAGTACCATCTCATTCCAGTAACAGTGGTAAAGTTTAACAGGGCAGCAAGTAATAAATGTTGGAGAGGATGTGGCGACAAAGGAACTCTTATATATTGTTGATGGGATTGTAAAATGGTACAACCATTCTGGAAGGCAGTTTGGTGCTTCCTCATAAAGCTGCATACAGAAATTCCATATGACCCAGCTATTCCACTACTTGGAATATAACCTGAGAATATGAGAACTGAGGCACAAACTGAGATTTATACACCAAAGTTCATAGCAGCATTATTCACCATCACAAGAACATGGAAACAGCCCAAATGTCCAACCACAAATGAACAGATTGAGAAATTATGGTATATTCACACCTGGGAATACTATGCAGCACACAAAAAGCAATGATTTTGTAAATTATTACCTAACTTAGGAGGGACTGGAGAGCATTATGCTGAGTGAACTAACTCAGTCCCACAAGGATAAATATTGTATAAAACCATTATTGTAGACTGAGTATAAGGATCCAAGAGGAGTGGGAGAGGCTGGAAGCAGAGGGATGTGGATACAGTTTGATGGGTGGGCAGTGAGGTAAATTGAAAGAACTTGTTCAATTTTTTAAATTTTTTAAAAATTTTATTATTGTGTGTGTGTGTGTGTGTGTGTGTGTACCGTCAAATTGGATCTGACTGGTACAGGAAGAGATTGCCCCTCCTTCTTCAGTACAGCATCTGGTGGATTCTGCATACCTCTGGAATTGCAGTGTGAATTTGTTCAAATTTGTATTAGAATTTTGTAAATAAACTAGTAGTAAAGAAAAAAAAAGAATAATGGAGAATGGGATTAAACGACAATAAAATCACTTCACATCCACCAGGATGGCAATTATAAAAAGACAGATAATCACAAGTGTTGGGGGGAAAATGTAGAGAAGTTGGTATATTCACACACTTTTCTTGGGAATACAAAAAGGTGTAGCTACTTTGGAAAGCAGTCTGGTAGTTCCTAAAAAGGCTAAACGTAGAGTTACCCCATAACCCAGAAATTCTACTGCGAAGTATAGAAAACAATGGAGAATATATGTCCACACATAATTGTACAAGCTTTTATAGCAGCATTATCTATAACAAGGCCAAATAAGGAACAATCCAAATGTCCATCAATGGATAAATAAAATGTTATCAGCCATAAAAAGGAATGAAATACTGAGACACACAATAAGGATGAACCTTGAAAACACTGTGCTAAGTGAAATAAGCTAGTCACAAAGGACAAGAGTGTGTATTGATTCTTTCCTAGGAAGTGTCCAGAATAGGCCAATTCATAGAGACAGAAAGTGTATTCGTGGTTCTCAGAGTCCGAGAACAGGGTGAGGCAGGAATGGAGAGAGACTAACAGGTATAGGGTTTCTAATGGGCACAATGAAGATGCTATAATATTGATTGTGGTGATAGTGCACAATTCTGAGACATACCACTAAAAAAAAATCAAGTTACACCATTTAAATGAAGTAGATAATATCTCAATAAGACTCTTATTTAAAAATTAATATACTACTTAAGGTATACTATATTTCCATTAAGCGTGAGGGAAAATTTGGAAATGAAAAGCGATGACATTTCCACAAAATAACCTACTGCTGTCCCATCGAGTTGATTACAAAGCATAATGCCCTGTAGAAACGAGGACTGTCCCATAGTGTTTCCAAGGCAACAAGTCTTTACAGAAGTTTCATCTTTCTCTTGTAGAGCACTCATGGGGTTCACACTGCTGACCTTTCAGGGAGTAGCCCAACGCCTAGCCCATAGCACCAGCAGTGTATATGTTTACACAAGGACAGCTCAATTGTTGTCGAGTCTGTTCTGACTCAGCGGCCCTATATTGGGATTTCAAAGCTGCAAACCTTTACAGGAGAAGACTGTCCATCTTCCTCAGAGCAGCTGGTGGATTCTAAGCAGTGCAACACATAACATACCCCACCACCAGAACTCCTTTTATACAACACAATTAACATAATTAGTGTGACTGAACTGTACACTTAAAAGTGGTTGAAATGTAAACATTTTATTGTTGTTGTTGTTGTTATGTGCGTCAAGTCGTTTGCGACTCATAGCGACCCTATGTACAACAGCCCTAAACCCTGCTCTATCCTGTGCCAATCGCATTGCCTCTGACATTTCCATCCCGATAACCCCAGTCACTGAATCAATCCACCTCATAGAGGGTCTTCCCCTCCTGCACTGTCCCTCTACTCTACCCAGCATGATGTCCCTCTCTAA